CACCCACACCCACACCCACACCCACACCCACACCCACACTCACACCCCACCCACACCCACACCCACACCCACACCCACAGCCGAGGGTTTGCTTCATTTTGACAAAGGTGGTTTGAATCTGATAGAGCATGTTGAATTCTACATGGAGACTAACATTTCAGAGTTGAAGACTAATTTATGGCGAATCCATTTACGAAATACTCGAATCCTGACCTAAGATATCCTACGTATATCGAGTGAACAGGTCAATACAAGAATATAACAGATTCTAAAAATCAAACTAATTATTTTGAAATACAATCTATTTATTTTATATTTGTAGAATAAAATTTCAGCATCAAGTTCACAATCTGATGTTACACAAGAAACATTAACAAAAGTAAAAGTAAGAAAACCGCATAGATGTATAATCTTATTCTAGATCTTTGATTTTTTAATGAAATTTTTGGTGTTGATCTAATTACATTGAGAGCTCCAATCAATCGTCCGCCAAAAATTATGAGAGAATTATTTAAAAATTCAGGTTACGTGCTTCTCAAATGGAAAGAATATATTGAACCGAACGAATTAGTATTAAACGGTAAATCAGCGTTTCTTTCATCATGTGTTATCGTTGAATACAATGCTTTTGCGAAATAAAACGTTATAAGTCTTATGTTGATGATATTTGAATTAAAGCTGAATAAAACAAATTTTCCTTTACGCGAGTATGTCTGCATTTTAACATTAAAACCCATAATCGTAGGATACAGTTTTACTTGCCTATTTAAAATCACTAAGTGTATTAAATTTTCGTTTTGCTAGTTGTAATAAGAAGAAACAGCATTATCTCATTAGCTTCATCATTATTAGTGTCTCCTTACGTTAGCCGCTACTTAATACTAATATTAAATAGTATAACATCAACTATAATTAATGTTTTTCTTTTGAATTTATCCAGCAGAAATGCCTTATATTACCTGAAGATATTTCATATATATGGTCAACGATCTTAAATTCGATGGCAAAAATGCCTTATGATGCCGTGAAGTATAAGTCGAAAATAAATCATACAATAAAATCCACTACAGTTACTTGTGATCCATTAACCAAAAATGATATTGTACGTCAAAATGAAACAGTACACTAAGTAAAATTTCTCTTATTAGAAAAAATAGAAAAAATTATTCAGGACAGCACAAAATCTGTTTTTTGATTTTATTGTCGGTGTGATTTCCATATGATTTTGCAATTCATGTAAATATCCACGATTTTTGAATAATAAAAATCAATAGGTGAACTTTAATCGTTGTTGTATTAATGTATTCTTTCCATAATTTGTACTAGTTATAGACAATTTTTTTTTATGTTGAATGCTCATACATGTATATTAATCAACATGTAATAGTTATCAGATAGGATAGTATTATCACGAGCTATCGATCTAGGACCTTTAAAATCTTTAGTTTTGTAAATAAAATCTAATAATACGTGCAACGGACCACGGTGAGCAACCTAAAACGGCAAAATAGTGTTTTAAAGATCTTGAATATTTGTTACCAAGATCCTGAATGTCT